TTCTGAATAAAGAGTTTCTTCGTCCTCTCCTTCCCCGACTTTTAGTATTTCTTTGGGATCATGGATTCATTCGTCAATGTAAATGATAATCCATTACTATCATTCTTCTTCTTCTTCTTCCTTTTTTTTTTCTTTTTTGAGACAGGATCTTGCTCTGTTGTCCAGGCTAGAGTGCAGTGGTGCAATCACAGCTCACTGCAACCTCAACCTTTTGGGTTCAAGTGATTCTCCAGCCTCAGCCTACCAAGCAGCTGGGACTGCATGCATGCGCCACCATGCCTGGCTAATTTTTGTATTTTTTGTAGAGACTGGGTTTGACCATGTTGGCTGGACCATCATTCTATTGATGCTCAGATTGACCTGAGTTTGGGCAGTGCGTGTGTCCCCAGCAGTCTTTAAGCCCTTCTGACTGACCTTTCACTGCTGTCCCGCACAGCTGGTCCCTCCTCTTTCTACAGTCTCATCATGTCATGTCCTGGCTGCGAAACCCTGACTTTCTCCTGTCCACCACCTAAGGCCCAGCATTCAGAACCTGGGAGGCCTGTCAGGCAGCCTGCCTTTCCATGCTGTCTCTCATTGCATATGTCCCATCCGTGCACCCATTACCCAGGCAGTGTGTCCTGCCCCCCGATACACCAGATGTGTCCTCTGTTTGTCTTACTGTTCTCTTAACAGACCCCTCGGCTTGGTGCCTATCATAGCAGAGACTCCTTGCATTTTCTAAATGGTTGATTGAGTAAACCCTCTTTTCTGGGTATCTTATTTGTTAATGCTTAATTTTTCTGTTTCTTTTTTTTTCCCCCAACAAAGGTTACCTTACCTTCCAGCAAAAATCTCAAGCCCTCGTCAGAAACAAAGACTCAAAAAGGCTTATTTTCAGATGAGGAGGACTCTGAGGTATGGTATTCTTTTCCTTAGTTGTTGGTATTGGTCTATGAATATGACATAGAAACTATTTCTGAATCAGGTTTTTCTCAGTGGAGTTATAAGACTTTTTGTTAAGTACTCCAGTTCTTTCAAAATTATCTCTAGAGGCCAGGAGCTGTGGTTCATGCCTGTAATCCCAGCACTTTGGGAGGCCAAGGCAGGCGGACACCCGAGGTTAGGAATTTAACACCAGGTTGGCCAACGTGATGAAACCCTGTCTCTATTAAAAATACAACAATTAGCCAGACATGGTGGTGCGAGCCTGTAATCCTAGTTGCTCAGGAGGCTGAGTTAGGAGATTCACTTGAACCCGGGAGGCAGAAGTTGCAATAAACCAACATCACACCATTGCACTCTAGCCTGGGCGACAGAGCAAGACTTCGTCTCTAAATAAATAAATGAATAAAAATAATCTCTTCAGAGCTTAGGGTCTTTAGAAAGCAATATGTTTACAATACTTTTCACTTTTGGGTTGGACTGTATTTACATTTTCTGTGATGAAAATACTCTCGCTTTAGGATGCTCAGCTTTTAGACTATTAATGGGCTCATGATGTGATGAGGAGCTTGCACCAGAGTGGAGGTCACCGTGCTCCTTCCTTTATTCACATTCTCACTAACTGGACCATGGCTTAGTGCTGTAGCGGAAGGATTCTGGCATAGCCATCTGTCTTGTCGAGACTGAGACCATTAACAGACTGTGGGACCCTGGTTCACAGGTTGCTTCAGTCCCTCTAGGCACCTTAGAACCACCTCTCAGAATTTCACTGCTTTTCCTGAGTCTCTCAGGCCTAGGTCATCTTAGATCTAATTTTAAGTTAGCCTTTTAGGAGATCAGAGACCTGTATGAGAATGTAATGAGAAGTAATAAGCCCCTTTTACAGAAAAATATGTGGACATGGCAGAAACACGTATTTCAAGAAATTGTGGGCTCTAGGTTAGGCTCTCACGGTTGGACTTTGCACTCACAGCAAGGATGAACGTGGAACCCTTTGGAAGTAGAGTGATTGCCCTTGATGTAAAGAATACCTTTGAGGCTATTATTTCACTGAAGGCTAGTGTACAAAACATGGGAATTAACCAGAGTCCAGTTAAGTCACAACCCTGAGCCCTGAGAAACAGCATGATGGGGCCTCCACCATCTTATGCTCATGGATCCCGTGTATCACCCACACCTGCACCTCAGGGTCTTTGCACCTGCCCCTGCCACTCTGAGGAATGCTGTTCCCAGAATCCAGCTTGCTTCCTCACTCTTTCTCTGTGAGGCCTCCCTGATGAAATACACACAACTGGAAGCCTGCTAGCACTTACCACCCTGTACTCCTGGTCCCCTTTCCTGTTTTACTGTTTACCACAGCACGTGTTGCCAGGGACAATGTATATTTACTTATTCATTGTCTGTGCTTCCCACTAAAGTAAGTGCCATGAGGGCAGGACTTTTTATTTCCTGTTTGTATCCTTAACAGCCTGTCCTTAATACCAGTGCTTGGCATGTGATAAGCCATCCAGTAATTGTCGACTAGACAAGAAAACCAAATGTGAGCAATTGCAGTGACTTACAAAGTGTTCTGGTTATTTGTTGCTGTGAAACAACTTAACTCCAAAACTTAGTGGTTTACAACACCCATAGTTTTGTTGTCTCACAGTTCGAGAGGTTGACCGGGCTTAGCTAGGCCATTGTCACTGAGGGTCTCTTGTGTCTGAAGGTGGCTGGGCTGAGGATCAGCTCACTCCTATGTCTGGTACCTGGGCACTGGGGCCCCTGGGACATCTCTCATTAGCTCTTTGTGGCTACCAGCATGTAGTCAGGGAAGCCGGGTCTCATCCATGCTGGCTCAGGGCTGTAGGGGAGATTCGTCAGAGAGAGCCAAATGGAGGCCATGTCGCCTTCTGTGTTCCAGCCTTGGAAGTTAGTGGTGTTCCTTTTGCTTCATTTGTTGATCAAGATGGTCACAATGGCCCATCCAGGTTCATGGGGAGGGGCCGTAGGCTCCCCTTCTTGATGGTGGGAGTGTGCATGAACTGTCAGACTTGTGTGAAAACCCTCCCAAAGGCTTTGCCCCTTGTGTGTCATCGTAGAGTGAATGTTTTTATTGGATATTGTTGGGATTCTGAGGCAAGAAGTAAAACTAAGGCAGTCTAAGAGTTAAAGCTTTGGACCCGAAGGAATGCGTCCTGATTCCTTTCTCTATATCTCACGTGTGAGGCTGACACTTTCCCTGTGAAGTCATTCTGGGGGAACATATTTGAGGTAATGGAAGTGTGTTTTTTTGCAGTACCAAGAAAGGTATTAGTTAAGGGTCCAAAACTGTGATGTTGACATTTGTTTTTGTTGTTTGCTTTGGTTTACTTTCATTTTCTTAGAGCAGCAGAACCCTTTCTCTTGCCATTGTGTAACATGCAGGAGGGGCACGGGATGCCTGGAATTCCCCTTGTGGCCTCTTCAATCTAAGTAAACCCATGGGACTCCAGGGAGCACAGGGGAAAACCACTGTGTGGAGGAGATCTCACTTAGTGAACTCATTAGGTCTATATTTGAGGAGTAGACATCGACTACATAATTAAAAAAAAAAAAAACTGTCCAAAGAGGTCTTAGAAAATATGTTCTTGGCCTATTTAATTGTTCGGCTCTTGTGTATTGAAGTTTCTCTTCCCAAGGGAATAGATGTCCCATTTTATGTTTCTACTTCATGTAGCTCAATTTGCAGGTCTTTCTTTGCAGGATAAGCTGATATTTTATAGCATTTTGACCATTTCTTTATTTTTACATTTTTTACCTTTTTGAGATGAAATTTTATCTTTTTGCCCAGGCTGGAGTGCAGTGGTGCGATCTCCGCTCACTGCAACCTCCATCTTCCAGGTTCAAGCAATTCTTCTGCCTCGGCCTCCTGAGTAGCTGGGATTACAGGCACCCACTACCACACCTGGCTAATTTTGTGTTTTTAGTAGAGATGGGGTTTCGACATGTTGCACAAGCTGGTCTCGAACTCCTGACCTGAGGTGATCCACCTGCCCCAGCCTCCCAAAATGGGATTATAGGCATGAGCCACAGTGCCAGGCTGAAAGTTTCTTTAGAATCTAGCAGGTCTTATCCTGGTTTGCAACATCATATACCTGTAGTTAAGCTAAGTAGACTACCAAACATTTAAAAATAGAAATTTAATTTTTATTTATTTAAAAGAAGTAAGTCAGTCGGGCGTGGTGGCTCATGCCTGTAATTCCAGCATTTTGGGAGGCTGAGGCAAGTGGATCACGAGGTCAGGAGATCGAGACCACCCTGGCTAACACGGTGAAACCTGGTCTCTACTAAAAATACAAAAAAATTAGTTGGGCGTGGTGGCAGGTGCCTGTAGTCGCAGCTACTCAGGAGGCTGAGGCAGGAGAATGGCGTGAACCCGGGAGGCGGAGCTTGCAGTGAGCCGATATCGCGCCATTGCACCCCAGCCTGGGCGACTGAGCGAGACTCCATCTCAAAAAAAAAAAAAAAAAAAAAAAAAAGAAAGAAAAGAAAAGAAAAAAGAAAAAGAAATAAGTGATAATCTTAGGAGAGAAGGGTGTTCTAAATAAAATAGTTGTAGCTCCATTAATTTGGGAATCTAGCCCGTTTCTTTATTGACCCTGTCTAATCTCTGATTCTTTAGACAGTAATGGGAAGCCATTCTTATTTGTTTACTTTTTTAGTATGGTGTAGGAAATTGATTTGAAAACTTCTTCCTGCCTCCTGTTATTGGGGTGGGAATACAGAAGCCTCTTTGGTCTGCAAGGCCACCAAATCCTGTAGCTCTCCTCCTCCTTACCACTATTGCACACACCCTGCACAGACCCTGAGGCCTATCCCTTTAAGGACTCTGTCTGAGCCACCTTCCCTCTAAGGAAAGAAGCCTAGATACATGGCAGCCGTCATGTCTGAGTCACTTGTGTTTTATACTCACCTGATATTTTTAAAACTGATATTCCTGTTAACAGCAACTTTAATTTCAGTCCAACTGGATTTGTTTTCTTCACAAAGTGCGAGTAAGTTAAAAGGTGCGTCTCAGCTCCCTAGCAAGCTCCCCACATCGGTTTCCCTGTTCAATGATGAAGACAAAGAGGTAAACATTGTTATTGCAACACTAGATAATTTAGATTAGGAGAAAACGGTTATTGATGTAACTTTCTACCCAGAGGCTCATATACTAGCAAAAGGTGGTAGGGAAGTGGTCAGGTCAGGCTGCCTGAAGTCTATATAATAAAAATATTTCCGCTTTTTTTTCAGTGACTTCTTCCTTATATGTTCCTAGCTGTGCAATGGAGAAGACATTAGATTCTTGACGCAGTTCTTTTTGTTGTTGTTTTTGAGATGGAGTCTTTCTCTGTCACCCAGGCTGGGGTGCAGTGCTGTGATCTCAGCTCACTGCAACCAGGTTCAAGTGAGTCTCCTACCTCAGCCTCCCGAGTAGCTATGACTACAGGCGCGCACCACCACACCCGGCTAATTTTTGTATTGTTAGTAGAAACAGGGTTTCACCATGTTGGCCAGGCTAGTCTCGAACTCCTGATCTCAGGTGATCCACCTGCCTTGGCCTCCCTAAGTGCTAGGATTACAGGTATGAGCCACCGTGCCCGGCCTCTTGACATAGTTCTTATGGAGTGAAATCTATAGGTTTTATTTTTAAAATCCACCTTTGAGAAATACAGTTGACCCTTTAACAGTGTGGAGGTTGTTTTGACTTCCATATTGCAGTGAAAAATCCATATATAACTTCTTACTTCCCAAAAACTTATCTACTAATAGCTTACTGTTAACCAGAAGCCTCATGGATAACATAAACAGTTGATTAACATAAAAATAGTATAGTATCTATTTATATATTTTTGTATTCCTGACATATCTAGCATTTCCTTAGTTATTTTAAATATTTCTAGGCTACATGGTTTGTTTGCAAGATTTTTCAAATTGTTGCAAATGTCCAAAAAATTTTTCAACATATTACTGATAAAACATTTGTGTAGAAGTGGACGTGTGCAGCTCAAACCTGTGTCATTCAGGGTCAGCTGTACTTTAGTCTAGAGGATGGATCAATGTTATACCCAGTGACCTACAAGAATGTCTTGGATCAAGTGGAGATACAAAGGAGAAGGCAGCCATGTCCTGACCATGGCCTTTCTTTCCCATCCTGGTTGGAGAGAGCACATTGGGGAAGAGAAATAAGAGAGAACACAACCCAAACCTTAACTCTGATGCAGTACTGGGCAGTGATGAGCTCATAGGCTTTGCCATGAGACCCCTAGGTTCATATCCCAGCTCCACTACTGGCAAACCAGGGACCTGGAGCAAGTAACTTAACCTTCCTTAAACTCACCGTGGCTTAACAGTGAGTAGGGTCATTGTGGCAGCTGTAACTACTAGTGTGACACTCTTGCAGAGTGCCGGCACATAGTAAGTGCATAGTGAATGTGAGCTTTGTCATTAGTATCCCCAGTGGACACCAGCTCATTATTCTCCTGGCCTGTCCTATATTACCGCACTCTCCTTAAAGGAGACTTCATCCAGGAAGACACTCCCTTCATCCATCTTCACATTCCAGGGCTGTTCACCTGCTGTTAAGAGTTTGTCCATCCGAACTCAGACTCAGGCCCTCTGATGCTTTTGTTCCCCTTACCTGAATTAAAGCACCTTAATAAATACAACTTTTGGGGAGTGCTTGACCACAGATGAGTTTATAAATGCCATTAAACCTAGTACACCAGCAATTTTATTTAGTAAACTATTTCTTCACTTTATATAATCTCTTTGAAACTAATGAGAAACACAAGGCATGCCTTCCCTCCATCCCAGGAGTATGTCTTTCTTATTTGTAAAGGAGTGGAGACAGACCCCTAGTTCTCTCCTTTGAGCCATTGTTCTGGTTTCTCGTTTATGGAGAGGACAGTGTGAGTTTCTGGCTGCTACAGGGGCTCCCATGCCCGTTGCAGGTTGTAACCCCCTGAAATGAGCAGAGAGGCACTTGCCCACAGGGCGACTGGATGGGGCTCAGTTTCTCTTTGTACTTCGTGATCTTATTTGCATGTTGTCCTCTTGCTTCTTCCCAGCTGTTCTGCCTTCGAGTTCTATGGTAATCTCTTTCCCTTCTATGGGTGCAGTGGGAAAAGGCTGTAGTTTGGGATTTACTAGCATTTTGTGGGTTTTCCCTGCCAGAGGTGTTATTTGTATACCTGACTGGAGACTTACTTCCTAACAGGTTGATGTAGGAAGACATCCTGTGTTTTCTGTTTATAAAGTTGTCTCACCTTTCTGCCATTTGCTTTTCCAGGATAATCTTTTTGGGGGTACAGCTGCTAAGAAGCAGACATTGTCTCTACAAGCTCAGAGACAAGAGAAAGCAAAACCCTCCGAGCTCTCCAAAAAGAAAGCATCTGCGCTGTTGTTCAGCAGCGATGAGGAGGTGAGCCGAGGTTTCTCCTAAGAAGAGGGGAGTATTTGACGGGATTTAAGAGTTAAAGCCATCCCAAGTATTTTCTTTTCCTACCTGTTTTATATCTAGTGACATTCAGTCACCAAAGGTGATGTTCACAAGATTGTCTTTTCTGAAGGAAGACATTTAATGCAATATATAATTTAAAGATGAATCTCTTCAGAATGGTTCTGAATAAGTATGAGTCCCGCACAATAGTACATGCTCCTTCTAATGAGTTAGGCCGGCTACGGGAGAAATGATTTCTCATCCATTGCTAGGTTCATGGTCGAGTCCCCTATAACAAATGACAGATTAACCAGAGAAAAGTGTGCAAGTTTATTGAAGATAAGTGTTACCTGACACAGGAGCCTTCAGAAAAGAAGACTCAGAGAAACAGGAAATCCTGTGTCGATTGTATGCTGTCTGATGAAGAAGCAGACAGTTTTGGAGAAGCACCATGAGATGAAAGGGGTGTGACCTGATGGGAATAAGCTGGGGGAGCTCAGCAAGACCTGTGTGGTCAGATGATTCTCTGCATCTTTACAAATAAGGAGGCTCCTTTCCTCTGGGAATAGGGAGGACTGGAATGAAGGTCTTATGACCTACTCCAGAGACTTATTAAGATAAGTGTTACGGACACAGGAGCCTCTAGAAAGGAAGACTTTGGGAGAAACATAAAACTCTGCAAATGATTGTATGCCAACTGATGAAGAAAGCAGACAGTTTTGGAGAAGCACCACAGAGATGAAAGGGGTGTGACCTGATGGGAATAAGGTTGGGGAGCCCAGCAAGACCTGTGTGGTCAGACAGACTTCCCCACCCTACAAACAAGGAGGCCCTTTCCTCTGGGAATAGGATGACCTAAAACGGGCTGTCCATGACCCTACTCCAAGAGAGGCTAGGGAGTGACTTTCTCATGGCCTGCCGCAGAGAGAGTGTACTTCCGTGGCGGTCAGACCTTCTGCTTCTCAGACAAGGTGTGTCATTTGAGTAGCACGTCACATACCCAATGCAATGTATGTATAGCAGCAGTATCTTCAAATGACTACCGTGCTCTAATAACTGAACCACAGCTGTCCACTGCTATATTATCAACCATCGATGTCAAACCCTTGGTTTAGAACTATAGCTAAACATGGTAGGAGTTACCTATTGAGGTTAAACTCCTTTTTGAAGGAGTCTTACCAATATTTCTGTTTGTGATCTGGATAGATATTACCAAAGACAATAGTGAAAATGGTTTAGTTACTAACTCAATCAGATGTAGTACCAGGGAATCAGATTTAGCTGTGCAGAAAAAGACTTTAAAGATGATGATATTAAAAATCCTAATATTAAACATCATCCTGTGTTATGATAATTCCTCTTTATTTTAACATTGTAGGCAAGTTAGGAGGGGGTGAATTGGATATATAAGTTGTAGATATGTTCATGTTCTTATTGAAAGCAATTTTAAAATTCCAAAGCAGATTGCAAAAAAAATGTATTAAAAGCTTATGCAGCGGGGCGTGGTGGCTCATGCCTATAATCTCCGCACTTTGAGAGTCCAAGGCGGACAGATCCCCTGAGGTCAGGAGTTCGAGACCAGCCTGAACAACATGGAAAAACCCCGTCTCTATTAAAAATACAAAAAAATTAGTGAGGTATGGTGGCGCATGCCTGTAATCCCAACTACTCGGGAGGCTGAGGCAGGAGAATCACTTGAACTCAGGAGACGGAGGTTGTCAGCTAAGATCTCGCCATTGCACTCCAGCCTGAGCAACAAGCAAAACTGTCTAGAAAAAAAAAAAAAAAAAAGCTTATGCAACACACGTGAACAAGACACAAGGAAAAATTGCTAGTAATCCTTTTACCACAAAAGTCTGAGTTTGGCCTTTAGAAAGCATTTAAGGAAATCCCACCCAGCTATGCTCACACCTCCATATCAAGGAACTCCCAAGCATATATAATTTGTGTTTTCTACTCAAATGTATGAATTTATGATGGATTATCCAGTTTTTTCTTTTAAACATTGTCAGTGGTTGTTCCCTCTGTAGTAACAGCCGGACATCAGCGTAGTTGCCTCTGCTAGAGTATTAAAGTGGTTCAGGGAAAATAAAAACATTAGCTAAAGCTTGGAGCAAAAAGACATGCACAGGAAAGATAACCAAGGTTCTAGAACGGGGCGTCCAGTCTTTTGGCTTCCCTGGGCCACACTGGAAGAAGAACTGACTTGGGTCACACAGAAAATGCACTAACAAAGCTGATGAACTAAAAAAATTTAAAAAAAAGTTCATGCATAAATCCCGTAATATTTTAAGAAAGTTTACAGATTTGTGGTGGGCCGCATTCAAAGCCATACTGGGCTGTGTGTGGCCCTTGGGCCATGGGTTGGACAAGTTTCTCCTAGAACAAAGACTCTCAACTTCGGCTGCTCACTGGGATCCATGGGGAACTTAAAAGAATGCTGACTTGACAGGCTGGGCACAGTGACTCACGCCTGTAATCCCAGCACTCTGGGAGGCCGAGGTGGGCGAATCACCTGAGGTTAGGAGTTTGAGACCAGCCTGGCCAATGTGGCAAAACTCTGTCTCTATAAAAAATACAAAAATTATCCAGGCATGGTGATACATGCCTGTAGTCCTAGCAACTCAGAAGGCTGAGGCAGGAGAATCACTTGAACCCAGGAGGCAGAGGTTGCAGTGAGCCAAGATCACACCACTGCACGCCAGCCTGGGCCACAGAGCGAGACTCCATCTCAAAAAAGGAAAAACAAAAAACAAAAAACCTAAGGAGTGCTGACAGCGGATCCCAGCTCCAGAGATTCTGGATTCATCAGTCTGGGGTACAGCCTCATCATTGGAGTTTTGTGATGTTCTCCAGTGGATGCCAGTGTTTAGTCACTGCTAAACATTGACGAGCAATTCTCAAGCTGTAATGTTTAAGAAATCACCTGGGCACCCTGTGAAATGCAGGTTCTGATTCAGAAAGTAGGGGTGGGGCCTGAAATTCTGCATAATCTGCTGCTGACTTGTGGCCTCCACTTGGATTTGCAAGACTGTAGACTCCAGAGATCAGAGCACTTATGCAAGTGCTTGGGAGTTCTTTGATTTGAAGGGGGGTGAGCATAGCCTAGTGGAATTTCCTTAAATGCTTTCTGAAGGCCACATTCAGTCTTGTGGTAAAAGGATTACTAGCAGTTTTTCTTTGTGTCTTCTTCACATGTGTGTTGCATGAATTTTGACACTTTTTTTTTTTTGTAATCTGCTTTAGGATTTTTAAAATTAAAATATCATTCTCCTCTGGAGTTGGAAGTTCTTGAGTTCTTGGTATTTTTATATTCGGCTTCCTTCTTATAGCCTCTGTAATTAATGTTGATCCCCTGAAATAGACAAGTCATTTGTCGTAACACAGTGCAGAACAATAGTGGGAAGAGACATCATGGCAGGTGTTGGAGGAGGAAATCATGAGAAGCTCTGTGAGGTCAGAGAACCCAGCTGTCTAGATTTGAGTTCAAAGAAAAGTCTTAGGTATGAACTTTCTTCAAGACTGATACACTGAGTTTAATGCTTAGTTTAAATACAACTTGGTTTAACAAATATAAGTTTTATTTTACTTCCCATGTTTTATAATCTAAATTGCCAATGGACTTTTGTTTTTTTGAGTTGGAGTCTTGCTCTGTTGCTCAGGCTGGAGTGCAGTGGCACGATCTCGGCTCACTGCAAACTCCGTCTCCCGGGTTCACGCCATTCTGCCTCAGGCTCCCGAGTAGCTGGGACTACAGGCGCCCGCCACCACGCCTGGCTAATTTTTGTGTATTTTTTGTAGAAACGGGGTTTCACCATGTTAGCCAGGATGGTCTCGATCTCCTGACCTCGTGATCTGCCCACCTCGGCCTCCCAGAGTGCTGGGATTACAAGCGTGAGCCACCACACCTGGCCTGGAGTTTTAATATATATTTTATGTTTTAAGGACCAGTGGAATATTCCTGCTTCACAGACCCACTCAGCATCTGACAGCAGGTCTAAAGGAGAACCCAGGGATTCTGGGACCCTCCAGGGCCAGGAGGCCAAGGCTGTGAAAAAGACAAGTCTCTTTGAGGAAGACGAAGAAGATGATCTGTTTGCCATTGCTAAGGACAGGTGAGATAGTCATCGTAAAGAATCCCTCACTCTGTGTCTGTGGTAACAAGAAGAGGAATTTGATGCACAAACTAGTTCCTTGGGTAATTGCTAATCACAGATCACATAGTCATTGCACCAATGAGAATGTCTTTGCTTTTCACTGGCACCATCTTTTCCCTCAGGACACGGAAATGTTTGTCTTCATGGATCCTTATCTGATTTCTTCCCCCATCATGTTTTTTTTTCTTAACGTTAAAGTGTTCTTTTTCTTTGTTTGTCAGGGATTTGAGTATAGTTTGGTATCTTTCATTTGTGATTTTTCTCCAGGCTACTCTAAAGTCTGTCAGGTTTGGTCAGGATTACTTAAAAGTTTGTTATTTGAGGCACATTGCGGTGGCTCACGCCTGTAATCCCAGCACTTTGGGAGGCCGAGGCAGGTGGATCAGGAGGTCAGGAGTTCAAGACCAGCCTGGCCAATATGGTGAAACCTGGTCTTTACTGAAAAAATATAAAAATTAACCGGGCTTGGTGGCACGTGCGTGTAGTCCCACCTGCTCAGGAGGCTGAGGCAGAAGAATTGCTTGAACTCGGGAGGCGGAGGTTGCAGTGAGCCAAGATTGCACCACTGCACTCCTGCCTGGGCAACAGAACGAGACTCCATCTCAAAAAAAAAAAAGTTTGTTATTTGAATAGAAATCTGCTCAGCATTTAACACACCCTGTTAGGAGAAAGTTCCCTGCAGAGCTTTGCAGTATCCCATCAGGGGCTGATAATCCATAGCTGGCCACCTAGGTGCCTCTCCACGTTAATGCTGGAACTGAAGCTGGCAGAACATTCAGAGTGAGTGTGGACTGTGAGTAACATGCTGCCAGATTAGCTTACAGTAATTACTTCCTGCAAATACTTTTTTTCCTTTTGAGAGCCTTACATGATTACTTTGAAAGTCAACTGAAGGTTATTAGCAGAAAGAAGTAACTGATTGAACATGTAAATCCTATGCTTTGGTGTGGTTGTCATTTGATAGATTCAGAAGTACCTCAGGTTTCTGTCTCCAAATACTGGGATCTTGTCAAACATTACCATTTCTGCATTAGGCCTCTGTAACTTGACACTCAGGTGCATCTTTGGCTTCTGATTTAGAATATAGGCTCTGGAAACTTGATATTAAATTCTGATTCTGCTGGTTCCTGTCTGAGTAACCTTGGGCAAGTTACTTAACTTCCCTGTTCCTCAGTTTCCTCATTTGTTAAGCAAAAATTAAAATAGTACTTCTCTCATGGGTTTGTTGGGATGATGAGATGGAATCTAAATGTGAAATGGTTAGCACAATAGCTGGCACATTCTGAGCATTCAGGTGTTACCAGTTAGCACCATGAGTGCAGGGAAATAGTACATTCCTTTATTTTTGTTGCCCTCTCCTGGGACATTCTTCTTCCTATGTTGCCTGGCCACCTTCTCCAAACCTTAGTGTAAGTCTTGTTTCTTAAGAAGTCTTCCCAGCCGGGCACAGTGGCTCAGCCTGTAATCCCAGCCCTTGAGGAGGCTGAGGCGGGCAGATCACAAGGTCAGGAGTTGAAGACCAGCCTGACCAACATGGTGAAATCCCATCTCTACTAAAAATACAAAAATGAGCAGGGTGTGGTGGCACACTCCTGTAATCCCAGCTACTTGGGAGACTGAGGCAGGAGAATCGCTTGAACCTGGAGGCAGAAGTTGCAGTGAGCTAAGATCTCGCCACTACACTCCAGCCTGGGCAACAGAGGGAGACTCCATCTCAAAAAAAAAAAAAAAAAAAAAAAGATTGCCTTCACTAACTTTAAACAGATGAGAAAGAGAAAAAATAGGGAGTCGAGGGCGGACGTGGCTCCACCTTCATACCCCCACACCCTCAGCTGAGCATTTTCTACACTGTATCGAGGTTAGCTTGCTCCCGTGAGCACTCCCTACCCCTACCCCACACAAGGTCATAAATCTGGCAGTCTGAGTCCCATCTTGTTTGTGGGTCCTGGGTCCAGCCACACACGATACCTGGCTTTCAGGAATGCTTTCTCTGCTCCAGATATATCCTCCCTCCTATTGTTCCTGAAGTTCTCTGTCAAGTTTTATGTACGGAAAATAATTCATACCTTCATCAGATCTCAAAAGAAGCTTTATACACACAAGAAGAAATTTGCTTGAGGATGTGGAGGAATTGGAACCCTCTACTGCTGGTGGGAATGTAAAATGGTATAGTCACTTTGGAAAATTGTTTGACGTTGCCTCAAAATGTTAAACATAGGTCACCATATGACACAATAGTTTCATTGCTATGTATATACATAAGAGAAATGAAATCAGTTGTTCATGTAAAAACTTGTACGTGAGTATTTATTGCAACCTTAGTCATAACAGCCAAAAGTGTAAACAACCCAAATGTCCATCAGCTGATGACTGAATAAAAAAATGTATAACCGTACAATGGACTATTCTTCAGCAATAAAAAAGAGTAAGGTAGTGATGCATCCTAGAACATGAATGAACCTAGAAAATTTTATGTTACTTGAAAGAAGCCGGTCACAGAAAACCACATATTGTATCGTTCCATTTAAATGAAATGTATAAAATAGATAAACCATAGAGACAGAAAGTAGATCAGTGGTTGCCAGGGCCTGTGGGGCTGGGGGAATGGAGAGTGATTGCTCATAGGCATGGCGTTTCTTTTTGGGCTCATGATAATGTTGTGCACTTAGGTTGTAGTGATAGTTGCACAACTCGATGAGTATATTGAAAATACCACTGAAGTATGCACTTCTAAAGGGTGAATTTGGCCAGGTGCAATGGCTCATGCCTGTAATCCTGACTGATTGGGAGGCCAAATGGAAGGATCTCTTGAGGCCAGGTGTTTGAGACCAGCCTAGGCAACACAGAGCAACCTCACCTCTCCAAAAAAGTAGAACAATTAGCCAGGCATGGTGACATGTGCCTGTAGTTGTAGCTATTTGAGAGGCTAAGGCAGGAGGATCACTTGAGTTCAGAAATTTGAGGCTGCAGTGAGATATGATTGTGCCACTGCTCTCCAACCTCAGCAGTAGAGTAAGACCCTGTCTTAAAAAGTAAAATAAATATTAAAAATAAATAAAAGGTGAATTTTATGGTATATAAATTATGTCTCAATAACACTACTAAGAAAAAGAAATAGAAGCCAGGCCACAGGGTCATTTCCCAGTGCTGATCCCGGCCCTGTGATCTCTCTTGGCAACCGTCTTCCTGACAGTGCTGGAAATAGACATGTCCTCTCTGGTTCTTTTTGTGCTATAGGAAGTGGCAGAGAATGTTCTGCTTAGGAAGGCTCAGGCATCATGTGCCTTGCAGAGGTAACAGCTGGTGCACCTGCACTGGATAGTAAGAGGAGAGGGGCAACCTGAGACGTGAGGGACAGAGGCTGGTGATTTGCTGGAGACAGATTTCATCTATTTCAAAGGTCTTTCTTGTTTGCTTTCAACTGTGTAAGGTGAACTAATGGCTTTGGTGTTTGGGTGGTAGGTGGGTTCCTGTAGGTGCAGTCTAAAAGAAATATTGTTATGTTTTTTTTTTCATCACACTTTTCCTTAATTTGACCTTTTGTTTGTTTGTGTAGCCAAAAGAAGACCCAGAGAGTGTCACTCCTCTTTGAAGACGATGTTGATAGCGGAGGCTCTCTGTTTGGCTCTCCTCCTACATCTGTTCCTCCTGCAACAACGGTATTCTTCATCTCTTAGTCCCAGGAAATGTCCTTGAGTTTATGCTGCATCAGTAGTGGTGCTTCCCCGAATCAGCTCTTCATGCCTAACCTTGGAGGCTGAGTCTTATGGAAGACCTTATCTGCCTAGTTTCAGAAAGAGATCTTCTGATTAATAGTATTCTACAGAAGAAGCACATGTGCAAAGCCATCATTCAGTGTCAGGTGTAGGAACAAGAAACTGGATCTCAGAAGAGTCTTGTCCCCATTGGCATGGAATTCTGCTAACATTAGACGAGGCTAGTTAAGGCAAAATCATTCCTTTTATGAGTGTGTGTCAAGTACTAACACTGGTTTATATTAGCTAATCAGTAAAAAGAAAGGAAATTCTCACATGTGCTACAAAATGCATGAACCTTGAGGCCATTATACTCTATCAGTGGAGAAATGGTCACACAGGTCCTAGTATAATTAGACTGTGGAATACTATATAGTGGTGAAAAAACCCAAGGTAGAGCTTATGGGATGAAAAACTACTGCAGGCCAGGAAGAAAAAAAAAAAAAAGAGGAAGAAGAAGAAGATGCATAAACACATATAACATGGTGTCATTTAAATTAAAAAAAAAAAAAAAAGAAATACATGTGAATGCCTGGAAACGGGCTTGAAAGGATCGACAGCACATTGTTACTGGTGATTATACCAAGGGAAAGGTATGGAATGGGGGACTTCATACTCTCAATGCCTTTTTAAAGCCTTTTTAAAGAAGGCATTTGTGCATTACTGTGGAATTAGAAATAAACTCCAAACAAAAAATATCTAGGAGATATGGAAGAAGACTCTTCCTGTTAAATGGAGTTGCACAGCTTGTGCCAGAAGCTCTCAGCCCTGGACCAGCACGCTGCCCACCCTGGGCCCAGGTTCCCTGCTGCTGCTTCTATGGGGCTCCTGAGCCTTTCCTTGGGTCTCGCCCTTTGAGGACATCCAGTGGCTGTACAGTTAAGAGTCAGGAGATCTGATTGGTTTTTCTTTGTAAATTATAAATAACCTACTCTGGAGGATAACTGAACAATAAATTAATGAATTTTGCAGCCTCTGGAGCTATAAAACTTCTTTCAACCTATTGGAAATTATGATTGTTAAATAAAACAAAAGGTCAAGACACACAGCTTAAGTAGCTAAATAGCCTGCTCGTTTTTGATAATCATCTTAGGCAATAGTAAATAAAAGATATTTCCGTGTAAGTTAATTGTGACTTGGTTGTAAGCCTATGTTGACCAAAAGGTTAAACAACAGGCAGGAGAACTTAAAAAATGTAATGGGAGTTTTGTTCTGAGCCAAGCTTGAGAACTACTAGCCCAGTAAAGAGACTGCACAAACTGAGAACGCATCCCAGAGCGTGCCACACGAGACACAGCCTTTATACATTTCTATTACATAGAAAATGGGAGAAGGGGGCAGTGAAGCAAAGGTGATGTTCTTAACAGTTCTGATTGGTGCTCAGTGACATTGTGTATAAGATAAAATATGTGGTTAGCGCATTTTACTCATTAGCCTTTTGCCCTAATGAGTACATACGGGTCCCAGAGTCAGGAGAGGGATGGTTGATTTTGTGCTGCCTTTGTGCTTTATCTGATAGGCAGGTTGTAATTGGTACATGTCAGTGAGATATTTGACAGACTCTGGCCTTGCAGGCGAGGTTCAGCTTTCGTTCATAGGCCCGGTTTCTATTACCCATATGGCCAAGATGCAGCCATTTTAGACAATTGCTTTTTTTTTTTTCATCAGACTTTCCTTATTTTCTGACACCTATCAAGAAAGTAAATTTGGCCAGGCGTGGTGGCTCATACCTGTAATCCCAGCACTTTGGGAGGCCGAGGTGGGTGGATCACCTGAGGTCAGGAGTTTGGGACCAGCCTGGCCAACATGGTGAAACCCCATCTCTACTAAAAATACAAAAATTAGCCGGGCATGGTGATGCACACCTGTAATCCCAGCTACTAGGGAGCCTGAGGCAGGAGAATCACTTGAACCCGAGAGACAGATTTTGCAGTGAGCTGAGATTGTGCCAGTGCACTCCAGCCTGGGCAACAGAGCAAGACTTCATCTCAAAAAAAAAAAAGAAAAACAGAAAGTAAATTTCATGACAAGGATGAGTAGTTAGCTTGCCTTCAAGAAGATGAAAATTGGTACTTTGCATAGCATTTTCTGTGGTTTAAGGACCTTAGTTGTATATGAAGGAAGAATATGATTTGCCATACTTAAGTCTCTTTTTGTCTCCCCTATCAACTAGTTGCATTGAAATTTTTTTTTTTTTTTTTTTGAGACGGAGTCTCGCTCTGTCGCCAAGGCTGGCGTGCACTGGCGAGATCTCGGCTCACTGCAAGCTCCACCTCCCGGGTTCACGCCATTCTCCTGCCTCAGCCTCCCAAATAGCTGGGACTGCAGATGCCCTCCACCACGCCCAGCTAACTTTTTGTATTTCTTTAGTAGAGATAGGGTTTCACCATGTTAGCCAAGATGGCCTCGATTTCCTGACCTCGTGATCTGCCCACCTCGGCCTCCCAAAGTGCTTGGATTACAGGCGTGAGCCGAGATCCAGTGAGCCGAGATCACACCAGTGCACGCCAGCCTGGGTGACAGAGCGAGACTCTGTCTCAAAAAAAAAAATTTTTTTGTCAATGCAGCTAGTTGATAGAGGAGACAAAAAGAGACTTAAGTATGGCAAATCATATTCTTCCTTCATATACAACTAAGGTCCTTAAACCACAGAAAATGGTTTCAATGCGCCTGGCCTGCATTGAATTTTTATGTAGTTTTCAGTGAGTCCAGGATGTTCCACAAAAGCGTTTTCCTTTAATCACTTCACTGTTGCCTTATCTCTTCTGAAATTCTTCATGAGCTTCCAGTGTTCTTTTATGTCAAGTTCAATGGTTTTGCACTTTACTTATCTCTTCCTAACTAAAAATTCCCTTGCTCTCTTCTTTCTTCATTCATCACATTTTAAAATCATGATTAGCAATGTCCTTCCTTAGTTTCCCAAATCTGCCTTCCTAACTTGATTTAGGCATTGCCTCAAAGCACACTTCCTCATGTCATATGGTATGATTTGTATCTGTACTATACTATAATAGAGCTTTAGTTTTTTCTCAAGAACTTGTTGATAAGTCACTTGCCCCAAAGATGCCATGAATTCCAGGTAAGTCACAAACCTCAGTTTCCTAGTCCCCAAATCCCTGCCTCTCTGATAAGGAAGAGATGAGAAATGGGCTAAAGAGCTTGCAGGCTTGTACTGAACACTGAGTTGGTGTAAAACGCCGGGACAGGCTGTGGAATTATAGTGTATAGTCCTTTCAGATGAACGGACAAACAGATGTGTGCTAGCTGTTATATAATTGGGAAGAAAGTCAAGGAAGAGTCACGTAGAGAGATAAATATGCTTATTCAACAAAGCAACTTGACACTTAAGAGAACAGAGACCATGGGTGACATCTGAGTGGGGGCCTTGCTTGAAGGATGAGGAGGATTTGCTTCTACAGACATCGAGGGCAGCGTGACATGGGAGTTTGAAAGTTTGCAGTGACTTTAAGGAACAGTAAAGAATGAGGAGATGCACATGAGTAGAGGGATAGAATGGGGTGTCTGCTGAGTGTCATTTGCTTCATGCAAGGAGTGCAGGTTTGGGTTGGGAGAGGACGTGATCCAGCGGTTTCTTGTTTTAGCAAGACAACTCTGGGTGATGTCTTCTAGTTGAAATATAAGAGGAATGAGGCAGAGAGAGAGAGACTCATAATCGTCTGGTAGCAGAGGTAAGGATCTGAGTGAGGGAGGCATGGGGGTTGACAGACACGAGTAGACAGATACAGGTGATGTGATGGTGTGAAGTGCCCTATCCCCAAGTCTCAGGTGATGATGTTTGTTGCTTCTCCCTTTTGATGGCACCTTCCCTATCCTGTCCTCTCTTCCTTCATCACATTTAGCTGAAGCCCGAAGAGGATGGTTTGGGCTTGTTCTGTATATGGCCATGCTGGTCAGACACACTTTTTTATTGTTTTGGATGTCATGTACTCTTCTTTTGGTAGAAAAAAGAGACTGTCTCTGAGGCACCACCTTTGCTGTTCAGCGACGAAGAAGAGAAGCAGGCACCACTTGGAGTAAAGCCTGTGGATAAGAAGGTTGAGAGTGCCAAGGAGTCGTTAGAATTTGGGAGAACTGATGTGGCTGAGTCAGAAAAGGTGGACTTTTTTCTCTTGTATGCTTGAATGCATTTGTCTCTCGTATGTTGTTTTAAACACACAAAACCCCTTAAGTTTTTTGACCACAGAAAATAAATGGCCCATTTGTAGACAGATTTGAACACACAGACAAGCAGTCTGTCCCCACAGTGCAGGAAGTCTCTGCAGGGCCTTTCCTCCCGGCCGTTCTCCAAGACACGTGTGCACTGCGGTGTGCCTGCTCATGTCTCTGTGGTTACTGTCATGTCATGGCATCTTTGCTTTCTAACTTGTTCTCTTCTGTGCAGTGTTCCTGTTACCCTTGGTCCTCCTTTGGTCCCCAGCTGTACTTGAATTTAAATGTCAGTTTTAAGGAGATCTTAGTTTAGCATCCTTTTACTTTTAGATGATATTGGCAAGGAATTACAGAGTAGAGCGAAATGTCTACTCTTTCTAAAACACTAGCTTTCGTGTCCTGGACTGTCTGCCATCTCTTGCAGGAGGCCCGTGGGTAGTGCTGTTGACCACGCCTGGGCATTCAGCCTTGTGGTTGCCTTCAGCCTCTATATGCCTTTTCTCTTTCTCTTAACTTTTCTTATATACTGTGTCCAGCTGCTTAGGTCTAAAATCTCCCAGGGCCTGTGTGAAGAGCGTTGCATTTGCATTTACTGCTGAGGCTCCTTGGAGCTACAGTGATACAAGCATTTCATTTGTACCTGTATTCCTGTGTGACATTCTCTTCCCAGTGGCTGTGTGTGGACCCCTGTCCTATTCCAGTCCCAGTCCACACTTGACTCTGACTGGTTGCTATACTGCCCTCTCCCTCACTGAGTGTAAGCCCCTTGCGGACTAGGCCCGGTTTGTTTTGCTCACCATTATATCTGTAGTACTTGGCATATTACCTTGCACACAGTAGGCACTATGTTATAAATTATGTATTTCTTTAAAGAAGCATTTTTTTAATAGTTTGAGTATTCTGAAATCAGGATGTACCTCAATCAATGGTATCTTACCTGAAATGTGCTACTTGTTGAATGAATAAATGCTGCATTTTAGAATTATTTGAGAGATTCTTCTTCAATTTTCTATACAGTGTAAGCCTTCTACCATTTGAGGGTCGGATTTTCCCGATTAGATTTCCCCTTGGGGCTTAGGTGTTAGTTAAATGCTGCGAATTCATTGGTCTACTCCCAGTGATTTGCACTTGTGTTATCTTTGTCACTTAGAAGTTCTTCCTAGTTCATGATCCACCAGTGTGCATCAGGATCATAGCTGTCCTATCACTGGGTAGGAGAGAGGGACCCATGGTCTTAAACTGCTTGGAAAAATTATCTTTGGCTATGAATGATTGTACAAGACCGTCTCTTGGAGCAGCCAATCAAGAGTTGGGAGCAGATATGATTCACTGTGCCCTGAGTCATGCAAATGTGGCAGTTACTGAATTAATGAGGAGCTTGGCATGCTTCATGATAGGATTTATATTTCCAGGTGTTACTTATTTTTTTCCCCCCTATTATTTTCCTTTTCAGGAAGGACTTTTGACTAGATCTGCTCAGGAAGCAGTCAAGCATTCTGATTTATTTTCTTCATCATCCCCATTGGACAAAGGAACCAAGGCTAGAACCAAAACTGTTCTTAGCTTGTTTGATGAGGAAGAGGATAAAATGGAAGATCAAAACACTATCCAGGCTCCCCAGAAAGAAGTAGGAAAGGTAAGCAAAAAGCAATAGCAGTTCAAGTCTCTAGATGAGATAAAAGATTCTCATCTCATGGTTGTTGTTCTGTCATTTGAGTTTCTGAAGGAATCTTAACCTTCATTGTAGCATGTTAATGATTCTCTGCAGTAATTAGATATTTGGGAATCTTAATCAGGAACTCTTACCTCAGGTAGCAGTGTTAGGATAGGGGATTAGAATTTCACCCACCTCTTCTGGGATTTACAGACCTTGTTGTTCCTTCTAGCAAAGCTTTGCCCCTTGGCCAGTTGTGGGATGTAAGCAACAGGAAAGGGAAGTTAGGCTGGAGCTGTACAGTTAAGTATTTCTAACATTCAGTTTAAGAAAAAGTGTTGTAGATGAACCTTTCATACTGATTAGGTGTCAGCAAACTTTTTCTATAAAGGACCATATAATGACTATTTTAGCTTTTGCAGGCTATTTGGGCTCTTTCATAACTGCCTAGCTCTGCCATTGGCAGCATGAAAACGGCCCTAGGAAGCATGAAGATGGATGGGCATGCCTGTGTTCCAATAAGTTTTATTAATAAAAATAGGTGATGGTCAGCCGGGCATGGTGGCTCATATCTGTAATCCCAGCACTTTCGGAGGCCGAGGCGGGTGGATGACAAGGTCAAGAGATCGAGACCATCCTGGCCAACATAATGAAACCCTGTTTCTACTAAAAACACAAAAAATAGTTTGGCATGGTGACACGTGCCTGTAATCCCAGCTACTCGGGAGGCTGAGGCAGGAGAATTGCTTAAACCAGGAAGTTGGAGGTTGTAGTGAGCCGAGATCACTGCACTCCAGCCTAGTGACATAATGAGACTCCATCTCAAAAAAAAAAACAGGTGATGGTCATTCTGTAAGGTTAAGTATGACTGTGATATTAAAACTAGACAGAGACATCACCAGAAAGCTACAGATATCCTTTACGAATGTAGAGGCCAAAATCTTCAACAAAAAATACTACTAAACACAGTTTAGCAAAATAGAAAAAGGATTGCACATTATGAGAAGTGAGATTTATTCCTGGAATGCAAGGTTTGTTGAACATCTAAAATCAATTGATATAATACACTGTATCAGTAAAATACAGAATTAAAAGGCACATGATCATCTCAACAGATGCAGAAAAAGCATTTAATAAAATCCAAACCTTGTCATGATAAAGCACTCAATTAGTTAGGCATAGGAGGGAGCTTAATGGACTTGATAAAGGACATCTACGAAATCCCACAGCTGACATCACACTTAATGGTGAAAGACTACATGTGTTTCAACCCTAAGATCATGAACAACACAACGATGTCCACCCTTGGTAATTCTAATCAACCTTGTACTGGGGATTCTAAGCAGGGCATGTAGGTGAGAAAATGAAATAAAAGGCATTCAGATTGGAAAGGAAAAAGTGAAGTGAAACAAACTGTTTGCAGATTGCATGATCTTTTATATAGAAAGTCTTAAGGAATCTACAAAAACATCCATTGGAAATAATTATATTCATTAAGATTGAAGGATGTAGTAAGATCAATATGTGAAAATCAGTTGTTCTGTAAACTAGTAATGAACAGTTACTAGCTTATGAAAGTTACTACTAGTGACTTTCTTTTTTTTTTTTTTTTTATGACAGAGTTTCACTCTTGTCCCCCAGGCTGGATTGCAATGGCACAATCTCGGCTCACTGCAACCTTTGCCTCCTGGGTTCAAGAAATTCTCCTGCCTCAGCCTCTCGAGTAGCTGGGATTATAGGCACCCACCACCATGTCCAGCTAATTTTTGTAATTTTAGTAGAGATGGGGTTTCACCATGTTGGCCAGGCTGATCTCGAACTCCTGACCTCAGGTGATCCACCTGCCTCAGCCTCCCGAAGTGCTGGGATTACAGGCATGAGCCACCACACCTGGCTTACTAGTAGTAACTTTCATGAGCAATTACTAGCTTATGAATGAAATTAAGAAATCAGTTTCTTTTATAGTAATACCAAGAAGGGTAAAATACTTAGGAGTAGATTTAGCAAAAGAAGTACACGACTTGTAAACTAAAATCTACAAAACATTGAAAGAAATTAAAAACCTAAAATAGATGGAAAGACATCTCGTGTTTATGGACCAGAAACCCTTAATATTCGTAACGTGGCAATACTTCCTTCCCAGATTGATTTATTGTAATCTCTATCAAAATTCCAGCTTGCTTTTTGCAGAAATGGACAAGCTGATCCTAGAATTTTTACGGAAGTGTAAGAGACCAAGAATAGCCAAGAGTCTTGGGAGAACAAAGTTAGAAGACTCACACTTCCTGATTTCGAAACTTACTTTAAGACAGGGTGGTATTGGCATAAGGTATAGATCCGTGAAGTAGAATTGAGAGTCTAGAAATAAACCCTCACATTTGCAGTCAGTTGCTTAAGGTGACAAGATATTTCAGTGGGAAGAGAATAGTCTTCAGCAGATGTGCCAGGATGCTGATTATCTACATGCAAAGGAATGAAGTTGGACCCATTAATAAACAAACTCAGATCCAGTGTAAGATCCAAATGTAAAAACTAAAACTGTACAACTCCAAGAATCTAGAGAGTATGTGAATAAATTATCATGACCTTGGATTAGGCAAAGCCTTCTTAGATAAGACACCAAAAGCACAAGTGACAAAAATAGCTACCTTGGACTTTATTTAAATGAAAAACATTGTGCTTCAAAGGGCACCATCTGGAAAGTCAAACGACCACCCACAAAATGGGAGAAAAGACTTGCAAATCATGTATTTGATAAAGGACTTAGATCCAGAATATGTAAAAGACTTATAAGTCAATATTAAAAAGACAAATAGCCCAGATGAAAGAAGGGATAGGACAGAAGGGATAGGCCAGGCATTGTGGCTCATGTCTGTAATCCCAGCAGTTTGGGAGACCAGGGCGGGAGGATGGCTTTAGGCCGGGAGTTCACGACCAGCCTGGGCAACATAGCGAGATCCTGTCTCTACAAAAAATTTTAAAAATTAGCCAGGACTGGTTGTGTGCTCCTATAGTTCTATCTCCTTGGGAAGTTGAGGCAGAAGAGTCCTTGGAGCCCAGGAATTCAAGGCTGCAGTGGGCTGTGATCACACCACTGTACTCTAGCCTGAAAAAAAATAGATAGGACAGACACCTGAATAGAGATTTTACTAAAGAAGATAGACAAATGGCCAAAAAGCATACAGAAGGATGCTCAGTGTCAGGGAAGCCAAAACCACAGTGACATACCGCTTCATACCCGAGAAAAGGACTGTAATAAACAAAAAAGGGAAGTAACGAGTGTTGGTAAGAATGTGGAGAAATGGAAATTCTCCTTACTGCTGCAAATGTGGAACAGTACAACCACTTTGGAAAACAGTTTGCTGTTCTTCAAATTCTTGTAACATAGAGCTACCACACAATCCAGGAATTTTATTCCTGGGTATATACCCAAGAGAACTAAAAACATATGTTCACACAAAACTTGAATGTGATTGTTCCCAGCAGTGTTATTCATAATAGCCTTAAGATGGAAACAGTGGCTAAACATAATATAGTATATCCATGCAACGGAATATTATTTGGTAATAAAAAAGGCAAAGTACTGATACATGCTGCCACATGGATGAACCTTGAAAACTTTCTAAATAAAATAAACCAGTCATGAAGGACCACATATTATGTGATTCCATTTATATGAAATGTCCAGAATAGGCATATCGAAGCAGACAGAAAGTAGATTAGTAGGTACTGGGGGCTGGGAGTGGCAGTGAGCAGGAATGAATAATTACTGCTAATGGTTTGGGGTTTCTTTTGGAGGTAATGAGAATGTTCTAAACTTAGATTGTGGTAGTGGTTACACAAATCTGAATATACCAAAAAATCATTACATTGTATACTGTAAATGGGTAGATTTTATGTTAGATGAATTTAATCTCATTGGTGATGTTATGCAAACGGGGTTGGCAGGTCATAGATTGCCAATCCTTTTTATAGATCTAACTGAAGAAATAGTCTATGTTTATTTCTACAAAAAATGTTTTATGAATTTTTTTGTTATTCTAATACTATAAGTCTATTTATAAATGAGAGCTGCACACAGTGAATATGATTAATTTGATATATATTCTCCCAGTCTCTTACTGTGTATGGTTTTGTAATGTTTGTCCATGGTTGTGAAATGTTTAACCTTACTTGCTGTGTTAAACTCATTTTTATGTATGACAATAATAATTATTGCTAATGTGATTTATTTTGTTAGAAGTAAGTTTTTGGTTAGTTGGTTTTTTTGGTTTGTTTGTTTTTTTGAGATGGAGTCCTACTGTGTTGCCCAGGCTGGAGTGCAATGGCGTGATCTTGGCTCACTTGAGCCTCCGCCTCCCAGGTTCAAGGATTCTCCTGCCTCAGCCTCCCGAGTAGCTGGGACTACAGGCACGCGCCACCATGCCTGGCTAATCTTTGTATTTTTAGTAGAGATGGGGTTTCACCATGTTGGCCAGGCTGGTCTCGAACTCCTGGTCTCTGGTAATCCGCCCGCCTTGGCCTCCCAAAGTGCTGGGATTACAGGCATGAGCTACCATACCTGGCCCTTTTGTTAAGTTTTAATCTGTGACTGTGATACTAAAGAAATAGGGATAAAGAATGTCAGGTCTAGAGTATTATATTATCAAACCAATAATGTTGATGGTAACTTTTAAATGTTAGATATGTAGTAAACAAAAAGGGACTCACTTGGAGTCTGAAAGTAGGGCAGAAGTGATGGATGGGTATGGGAAGGCTTGTAGTTGCACCTGGGCCAGGTCTTTGGTCTGCAGTGCTTACAGGTGAGAAATACATACTTGACCACTCTGTGTAGTTTGTGCGTGAGTCACCTGCTGTGTCTTCTTCCCTTTGGGAATGAGATGGAGAGAATTCATTCAGTTGTGTGTTTCTTATCGTCAAAATGTTTCTCATTATGGAACTAACAGATTGCTTTGTGTGTGTGTATATATATATAATTTTGTATTTATAAATATATTTTCTGCTATTTTTGGAAGCGCCATAGTATTCCATTTTGTTAATGTTTCTTGCCCCTACTGAGTGGCTTTTAGGCTGTGGCCAGCCTTCTGCTAATATAATACAGCTGCAGAGGACATCTTTGTTGTGTCCATCTTTACATGTGTAACTTCCTTGAGATAAGTTCTTACAGCTCTAATCACACGTGACCTTCCTTCCTATTCCCAGGGCCGCGATCCTGATACCCGCCCCAAGAGCACAGGTGTCTTCCAGGATGAAGAGCTCCTTTTCAGCCACAAGCTCCAAAAGGACAATGACCCAGATGTTGACCTTTTCGCTGGCACCAAAAAACCCAAGGTCAGTTCCAAATGGTTCCCCACATTATGGCTTTGTTATTATATTGGGTACCGTCTCAGCAGCTCACCTAGTTCTCTTTGTAAATTGTTTTGCTTTTGGATATTGAACTTGAGTCTTGTTTATTCTAGCTGTTAGAGCCAAGTGTTGGGAGCCTGTTCGGGGATGATGAAGTTGATGATCTTTTCAGCTCTGCCAAGTCCCAGCCTTTGGTACCAGCCTTTTGTTCTCAATACCAGGTTGTGTGGGAAAGATTCCAGGAAAGGAAACTAACGTCCAGTTAGGTGATTAAGGAAAATCCTAGGATAGTCATGGTGCTTCCTACTAAATGAATGGCAAATAATATGCGGAGGGGGGTGTGTGTGGAGGATGCAGTGCTTAGTTTCTGTTGTTCCCCATCTTAGGTTCCCTATACTAACATTAAAACATTAACAATCCAGGCTCTCTAACTGTACTATACATTTGTGTGATGTTTAAATGGTTGATTGAAAGACCATTGCATACACTGGGGTGACTAAATATTCATGCCTTTCAGGTGCAAAGCTTCAGTCTGAGTTTTAGCCTTCCTATGTCATTTTCTCCCCCAGCCCCAATAGGTTTTTGTAAGTACTCTGTTTTCTTTTTATCATAGAGAGAACTCCTGTGACAGCCGCAGTCTTCAGAATGCTATTTCTGAAATGCTACCTTTGAGTTGGTTCAGCCCTCATTTGAGAAAGTATTTTTAAGACTCAGAAGCCAGGATTATTTTTTGCATTATGATTTTTCCTTACATTTTCTAAGATATTTGATGGATTTTGGTATTTTTTTTTTTTCTTTTGAAGGTACAAGAGAAAAAGAGAGTAGTGAAAAAAGACCACTCTGTTGACTCTTTCAAAAACCAGAAACATCCTGAATCCATTCAAGGTAGTAAAGAAAAAGGCCTATGGAAGCCGGAAACACCTCAGGTTAGAAATGCTCTTTAAGGATTTTCAACTCTTGTTTGCATCCCAGTACAGAGAAATTCCATCATGCAGACCCACAGTTATTCAGACTTGTCTGCGTTAAGGAGGAAATAGCAACCAGGGTTACCGCTTTGTCTTCACTGCACTCCCCGCAAGTCATCTCCCCTCTCCTCGCTCCACACCTCAGAGTGTCACAAATCTGCATTTTAATAGTTAGTGTTTTTTGATGCCATGCCAGATTTGACTCTAAAGTGGAGTTAAGGTAGGATGAAGAATCTTCTTCCCACTAAAGCATTTATTTCCCCCTCTGGATTTCCTTGGAATGGAATTAAAATAGAAATAAATATAAATTACATCTGATTTCTTGGCTGCTCTCAGTGTTGCCTCTTCCGAGGTCACTGCTGTTGGGCCCTACTCTGCAGCAGTCTTTTCAGAACGCTGTGGAGCTCCTCCTGGGAACAGACCAGGACTGGAGAGCAAGTGCCAGTTCCATGTGCAGGTGTCCCAGGGTGTCTCACTGAAGCCTTAGTGTCCTGAGCTGTAAACCTGAGGCTCTTGGACCAGCACATCACCACTGACCCTTCCTGGGGCTCAGATCTTTTGCTTTTAGGACCAGTGCATTAGGCTATGGGTGAATTTCTGTGTGCTCCTTGAAATTTGTATTTGATAACCAACATGGTAATTTTGCCTGCTGGTCAGTTTTAGGTGCTCTGATAAACTGTGATTCTTGGGAATCTTACTCATCTTGTGTTCCTTGACTCTATATCTGATCTGAGAGTTTTCCACTTATGTGACAGAGGAGGAGGCATACATGAAGTAGTGCTAGTGAAACGACAGACCCCAGGAGAGATTTGAATGCCTTTCCCATTAAAGAGCTACAGAAAGTGACAGTTCTGCTCCATCACAGATTTATTTACAGGCATAAGAAACACTTGTCTTTCTGTTTCCCCAATGGATTTTTAACTGGATGTAATTTCACACAGGAATCATCAGGTCTCGCTCCATTTAAAACCAAAGAACCATCCACTCGGATCGGGAAAATACAAGTAATTAAAACACTGGAATCTTCATTGCCTGCCCTGTGGCATCTATAAACTTTTTTGGGTTTCCTACTTTTGTCAGCTGCTGCCAAGCATCTTCTCATCTCTTCCCCCGCCTCCCCTCCCCCGCACCTAGTTGTCTCTTGTGTGCTGTGTCTTTAACATCTATTCTTCGAGCCCAGTGGTGGGCATAGGTGTAAGACCCTCTGTTTTAATTCTGAGACTAGATGAGGCGATTTTCCTACATTTCTCTTCTCCTCTCGTATTATACATTATGTGCACCGAGTCTCGTCATGTGTCAGAGTAAAGATAATAGACTGCTGTGTTGAAGAACAAATACAGAGTTTCATTTTTCTTCTTTAGGCAAATTTAGCGATCAACCCCGCGGCCTTGCTGCCCACAGCGGCTCCCCAGATCTCTGAAGTAAAGCCTGTTTTGCCAGAATTGGCTTTTCCTTCATCTGAACACAGAAGGAGCCACGGTCTGGAAAGTGTGCCTGTTCTTCCCAGGAGTGGGGAGACCGGTGTGAGTTTTGATCTTCCAGCTCAGGCAGACACCTTACACAGTGCAAACAAGGTGATGAAACCATCTTTGCTTCCTTGCTGTCTTCTTTTAACCGGAATATGCGTCTGTTTCTTTCTAGTTTATCGATTGCATACACAGCAGTCTTTGACTCTCCTTTTGAATGGGGTGCCTCATCCTTCCTTCAGCCGCTCTCTCCATTCTCCCCACCCCCTCTCATCCTGCACCTGCTTTTCCATGGCCTGTATTTGATACATTTGCATTCTGCTCAGCAGCCACAGTAATGTCTCACCACTTTGGCTGGTGTCTGACACCTGCAGGTTTCCAGCACTGCCACCTGGGGGTCTTCTAACCACAGAGCAGATCATGCCCTTCCTGCTTTTGCTTCCTCACTGCTCCGAGGATAGCATTCAGGCTCCTAGGTTTGGTATGAAACGCCTTTACAATCGGTGCCAGCCCATGTGTGCAGCTTCCCCACCAGTCACTGCACACTTTCCAGCCTGACTCCAGGCATACCAGGTGCCACTCCCTGAACACACATGGTCTGTTCTGCTGCTTCCCAAGGCTTCTGCTGCCTCCTCACCAGGAATGCTCCTCTCCATCCACAGCTGTGCTTCCACATCCCCACTTCTGTCACTGTGCCCTGCACTCCCCGCACAAGTTCCCACAGCAGCGACACTGTTTCATGGGATCTCCTCAATGAACTGTGAACTCTTTGACGTTTCCTTTCATTTTAGTTGGGTTTCTTGTTTCTATCCAATCTCCCTTCTCTGGAAAGCCTTAATTGATCTCCAAGTAAGCGACAGGACACAGAATGACCTAACCCTGGCAAATAGACTCATTTCAAATGTTTCCAAACCTGTTTCGTTGTGCAAAACAAAACAGCCTTCCTTTTATGACAGTTTTCGTTGGCTTTTTTTTTATTAGGTTTAAATTGGCAACTAAAATTGTGACATTCCCCTGAAGCTGGCAACACAATCATACTTTGCCCAAAGTAGGTTGTAGCTTCTCAAAATTCTACTTGATTGTATATTTTGGAAAATATCATAAACACTGCATCATTGCTACTAAGTGATCTGTGTTTTGAGATTATATTAAAAGTTCTGATTTCTAAACCATATTTCTTATGTGGAATACTTACTGTTTAAATTTAATGTTTATTGACTTGAAGAAAACAGCGCCTTAGATTACCTCTCTTTATTGTCTTGTATTTCTCCCTGCTCCTGGAGCCAGAATTTAGGCTAGCCCCCTAACAAAGGTTAGTACCAGAATTCCCCGATTCTTTCTTCTTTGGAAAGATACCCACGTTTCTATGGAAGGCAGAGTAGGTGCCAAGGGAGGGGTCGTGAGACACAGAGAGCCAACATGCCTACTTTCCAGGTTTCCAGCAACAGATGAAGCTTTTTGTGTCAAACTGAACTGAAACTGCCCTGAAAATATTAAAAAATGGAGAACTCTAAAGGATTAAGAATGACTTAGTCTTGGAGTACTAGGAGCTATTAAACACCTTCCTTGGAAATCATTAAGAAATAACCTCTTCTGTGTCTTCGATAATACCTTCATTGAAGTAAACCAGATAACCTTACAGTATTTTGAGTCACTGATTCTTTGCCATGGTAGCTTTGAACACTTTATTTTATCATTAGATCAATGTGTGTTTTTTTGCCATTGCAGAGCCGTGTCAAGATGAGAGGGAAGCGTAGACCACAGACCCGTGCAGCTAGGCGGCTGGCTGCCCAGGAGTCCAGTGAGGCTCAGGACATAAGTGTCCCCAGAGGACCCATTGCACAGTGGGCTGATGGTGCCGTTTCCGCAAATGGCCATCGGCCACAGCTCAGAGCAGCCAGTGGAGAAGACAGCACTGAGGAGGCCCTGGCAGCTGCCGCTGCACCTTGGGAACGTGTTCCTGTGCCAGGAGTGGACAGAAGCCCCTTTGCAAAGTCCAAAGGCGAGCCTGACCTTTTTGATTCTGGGGACATCTTTTCCACGGGCACTGGATCTCAGTCCATGGAGAGAACAAAACCCAAGGCAAAGATAGCAGAGAATTCTGCCAACCCGCCAGTGGGTGGTAAAGCAAAAAGCCCCATGTTTCCTGCTCTAGGCGAGGCCAGCAGTGATGATGATCTCTTTCAGTCTGCGAAACCAAAACCAGCAAAGAAAACAAATCCCTTTCCTCTCCTGGAAGATGAGGATGACCTCTTTACAGATCAGAAAGTCAAGAAAAATGAAACAAAATCCAGTAGTCAGCAGGATGTCATATCAACAACACAAGATATTTTTGAGGTAATAGGACTTAACACGTTTTTGTGTCTAAGTTAAGGAGGGTATCTGATTGGCTTATTTGAGCCATGGATTATGTTTAACTTGTTGCATGCATACCCCATAGCCATCTGCTTAGTAATTATAATTAGGCTCTTTTATTAATAAGTCTAACATTGTTTCAGAAGTGGCTTTTTGTTTTGTTTCATGTAGAATGTATTTCTTGGCTGGCCACAATCGTTGATGCAGGTCTTGGTTTGTCTAGTTTTTACAGTTTTTTAATTTTTATAGAATATTGTAGTCAGCTTCCTGGGCATGCCACTCGGTGACATGCCTATAGCTCCACCAGTCCAGCTTGAGAGTTTAACCTGTGGTTCTGGGGACATTGGCCCTGGCTGGAGCTGACAGTTTAGTGCAGGCAATAAGACTTTCAGTGGCATTTGCTCAGCAGATGTTTATGGAGCACCTGGGGCCTGCAGGTACGAGGTGAGCTCAGAGAAGTGCTAGGCTCCTCAGAGCTCTCTGGGAAGATAATGAAATACAAACAGGGCAATGGAAAATTAAGATGTTTTCAAATAGTACTAAGTGTCATGAAGAAAATAACCTGGGTCAGAGTGGTTGGTAGGGGTAGGAGGTGCTCCTTTAGGCAGGACTGGTAGAGAAGGTGTCACTGCAATGCCGGCATTTGAGCCGGGGTGAGATGGGTGGGCCAAGCTGTGCAGACATCTGGGTTAGTGCATCCCAGGCAGAGGGGGCAGTCTCAAGGCTGTTCCACAACACCCTGGCCATTTGCATTTCCATGGCTTGTTGACATGTTTGAGTTTAAAAAGAAAAATTGATTTAACATTGTATGTATTTTTGGCTTAACAAGGATGATATATTTGCTACGGAAGCAATTAAACCCTCTCAGAAAACCAGAGAGAAGGAGAAAACATTGGAATCCAATTTATTTGATGATAACATTGATATCTTTGCTGACTTAACTGTAAAACCAAAAGAAAAGTCCAAAAAGAAAGTGGAAGCCAAGTCTATATTTGATGATGATATGGGTAAGTTTGGTTTTCTACGTCTGACCTAGAGAACCCTTAACTTTCCGTCACTTGGTATTTTTCCTGCTACCTTTTCTTGGCCCTTTTCTGGAAAATACACCCCAGCAGGTTCACTTCAGTGTAATCCTGAGTTGGGCTGAAGATAGGTAAGAGATGGACTAATTATTTTAGTGAAATAACTCTTTCCTATTTGGTCATCAAATAATTTGAAGGCACCCAGAGTTTGACATTTAAGTATAATTTAACTTTGATCTCAGTGCACCTCACCAATCATCTGTGGCACACCCTGATGTTATGAAAGGAGGTTTGATCAGAAATGACCTCACGTGCTAAAGTAGGCTGAGGGGACTGCCTTGGGTGTGATGTGGTTGGTTGAGTCAGAGCTCCAGATGGAGAGGGAGTGTCCATGGTTCTGTGTGAGAAGAGAGCAAGACTAGACCTGGGGGTAGGCTCTACCTCAGGCGTTGCATCTCACTGAGGTCTTTGGTGTTTGGGAACAAGATCGTCTTCTTTATGTGGCACAACTTCTGCTTTGTTGGTAAACAAGGCAAATATGCGAGAACCCTAAATATTGGACTTTTGATCAATCCTGCGTTGGTAGAGAGCATGTGGGCTGAGGCCACATACACATTTCCTACACCCCCAATCAATCTAGACCTTGAGGCTAACTGGGAGACAGCTGGTGCTGGAGAGTCACACTGGCTCTGTGCCTCGAGCAAGCACATGGAGGGCAGAATAACTCATTCATTATTTTAAATACAGAAAAGTCATACATGCTTATTGTAATAGATTCATGCAATTCAGAAAATGTACAAAGTGAATAACCCCTGAAGGTAATAGTAACAGTTTGGTGTGTATCCGTTCAGACACAGTGATATTAATATATGCTTGTGTACACATCAATATATAACCACCTTTTAAAAAAGAATGTACTTATAAATATATATAAGAATATATTTTTAAAAGTAAGAATATATTTCTGAAAAGTAAGAATGTATTTCTGCTCTTTTAGTCACTTCGTGTCTTTTCATGTCAGTACATAGAGATCTCCTTCCTTGTTTTCAGTGGTGTGCACGATTTCTTTGTATTTAGCCATTAGCCTGTTGACTGAGATCCTGATTGTTTCTGTTTTCTTTATTACAAATAATGCTGTGGTCTTGACCATTTGTGTACACCTGACTTTATGTATATATGCTAAAATCATGGTTGGATAAAACCCTAGCAGTAACATTACTGGATATGTACCATAATTAGGTAAGACAAGCTTTTGAGTCAGTGAAACATTAAACGAATGCAGCAACAGAGGCTTACGGTCTTACATGAGATGCCTCAAATCAGTGCATTTATTCTGAAAGAAAACAGGTGGGTCCTATGTTGGATTTCCCTTTGCATATTTTTATTGCTCTTTTAAAACCCGGTGTGAAAAGAATGTCTAAATAAGTCCATTGTCCCTGATGGTAGGGGCGTGGTCTGGTTTGGAGATCAAGTTACCCTTCCCTTTTGTCTGTCCTGCACACGCACATACAGACACTTTTGTTGCTGAAGAAATTGTGCTCCAAGAGAAACCTGTGTGTGATCATAAAACTTAATGAGTAACAAACACAGGACCAGAATCTAAGAGGCTTGAGTTCTAGATTAGTGTTTTGGGGTACTCCATACTGTTACCACAGCTGGGTCTTTGGTGGTTTGCTTGCATGCGTTTTAAAAGTACCTTTCCCCACCCCTCTTCAGCAACTGTTTTTCTTTTTTCTTTCTAAAGATGACATCTTCTCCTCTGGTATCCAGGCTAAGACAACCAAACCAAAAAGTCGATCTGCACAAGCCGCACCTGAACCAAGATCGGAACACGAGGTGTCCAACATCTTTGATGATCCCCTGAATGCCTTTGGAGGCCAGTAGAGCATACAGGGTATCCACATGTTATCCTGCAGCTACACTGTTGAGTTAGTGATGATGTTGTATATACTTATGGTCTTAACTGGGTTACAAAAAGCAAATACTAGAACAGCTAGCTCATCTTTTACCCAATGTACTTAGTATTTTTCTGCACTGGTTTAATCATGCTTAATACTACAAAACAAAAATAAGTATTTCACAGTGGTTGGTTTGTTTTGTTTTTAAACCATAGTTTGATTTAGTTAGCCTTGCTGGGGCCATAATATGTTTCAGGATGTGTAAAAGAAGCAATCTCTTTGTGGCTTTCATGGGTAGTCAGGGAATCTCAGAGATAGCAAATGCCACATGACCAGGAGTCTTTGTTATATGGATGGGAACCCTAACTTAGGGCCTGGGCAGGTGAAAGAGAAAGAAGGTGAGAGATTATACTTCATGAGTCTTAGCAATATGGGAGCAGGTTTTCACTGAATTCTGAAGGTGCCTCTGCATGTCCTCCAAGGCAGGGTTTGGCAAACTATGGCCCCCCACTGTCGTATTTTGTTAATAAAATTTTATTGGAACACAACCACATTCATTTATTTACTTACAGTCTATTGCTGCTCTCACCCCACCTCCAATGTAAGAGTTGAGTAATTGTAACAGAGACTAGATGGCTCACAGAGCCTCAGATGTTTTCTATCTGTCCCTTTATGTAAACAGTTTGCTGACCGTTGCTCTAAGGCATCCTTTTCCATCCTTGTCTTGTGGAAGCAGCAGAATGAACCTAGGTAATAGCGGGGGGAAGTGCTGAGGATGGAAATGTCAGCCTTTAGAGCAGCACTGCCCCATTGAACTCTGCAGGAATGAAAATGTTCTTTATCTGCATCAACAAAGGCAGTAGCCACCAGCCACCTGGATGGCTGACCCCATTCTAGTCTGTGTTTTTTGGTGCTCTGTCTTCTTGCTGCTGAGTATGCAGCCTGTCGCCACGGCACAGTCTTGTAGGCCACCCAGGTTGGTCTCAGCGATCCTGGAGCTACTAACTTCTTCCTTGGACATTATAAGATTGGAAGGGGAATTACTCATACCCAGAGTCAAAGATTTTCTACAGCTCCCACAGGTCAACCATTTGACCAAGTCTGCTGTGAGTGATGTGATGACAGATGAGGGCACTTGCTAGTTACCCACTCCTTTCCCCTATTCATTTTATGCATCTTCCTTCTGTCCTTAGGTTGAGATCTCCGAGTCGCTGTCGTCAGGCAGACTGCTGTCCTCCAGATTCAGGCCCATGGGAGCCTTGGTTGGTCTTGGAGGAGCAAGGCTGCGCAGGTGACTCGGTGGCCTCAAGTGTGTAGGTACCTGATGGTGCGAGGAGATGCTGGCTCTGAAATATTTCCTAATCCCGCTTGCAGATCAACTGCCGACTAGCGTTTAGGCTACAGACATATTAGATGGTTGATATGATTCTGTAGCTTGCCTTTAGAACTTTAGGGATGTTTTCACATATCAGTAAATTAAGATCTGTGTCAACATTTTTTTTTTTTTTGGGAGATGGAGTCTCGCTGTGTCACCTAGGCCAGAATGCAGTGGTGCAATCTCGGCTCACTGCAACCTCTGCCTCCTGGGTTCACGCCATTCTCCTGCCTCAGCCTCCCAAGTAGCTGGGACTACAGGCACCTGCCACCACGCCCTGCTAATTTTTTGTATTTTTAGTAGAGACGGGTTTTCACCGTGTTAGCCAGGATGGTCTCGATCTCCTGACCTCATGATCTGCCCGCCTCGGCCTCCCAAAGTGCTGGGATTACAGGCGTGAGCCATTGCGCCCGGCCTATGTCAACATTTTTAATGGCAGCTTCACATTCTGGATATCATTATGTTTGGGAAAATGTTTCAAAGGTAACTGCTCTTCTGTAGCTAAGCTTTTTTAGAGCAGAGGATGGAGCAAATTCTGAGTTACTGAAACTACATATTCAGCGCTCTTGCCTTGTTTACCGTTAACTTCCATTTCATCTTTGGAGTTGTGTTTTTAGAACTTTTTCAGAAGAGATGAGAGAAATAGAGAAATGCTTTGGGAATTGATTCAGAAATCTTTTTGGTGTCATTACTCTTAATAGCTAGATATATTTTTTAATTGTAAAAAATTCTGGAAATACTTTTTTCTCTACCTGCTCCCCCCCCCTTTTTTTTTTTTGAGACAGGGTCTAGTTGTGCTGCCCAGGCTGGGGTGTGGTGGCACAATCATAGCTTGCTGCACCTTCGAACTCCAGGGCTCCAGTGATCCTCCCACCTTAGCCTCCTGAATAGCTGGGACTACAGGTGTGTGCCATCATGCCCAGCTAATTTTTTTAAAAAGGTTTTTGTAGAGACAAGGGTCTCACTATGTTGCCCAGGCTGGTCTCAACCTTCTTGCCTCAAGTGATTCTCCCACCTTGGCCTCCTGAATTGCTGGGATTATGGGCATGAGCCACCTTGGCCAGCTTCTTTCTGTTTTTTTCATTTCGTCTTCCCCTTCTATTTTCTTTCTTTTTTTTCTTTCTTTTAGCTGTTCTTGCATCATTTTCCATCCCATCTTGAAGTCTTCATTGCCCCCTCATTTTCCA